TTTCTAAATTTATATAGCAATTATAATTTATATACAAATATAAGAATTAAAATTGTATAGAACATGACTGGCTTGGATAAAATTTTATAATATATTATACATATATATAAAAAATGTAAGTGCTGATTAATTTTATCGAACAAATATGATATAAAAGTAATAATATAAATGATTAAAAATATTTTACAAATATTTCATCAAAAAACCAGTGAATATATATGAACTAAAACTGGTCTGATATTTCCAATTGGGGATCATAATTATTGGAATCTGAGTGAAAAGAGTCACACAAATATTTTAAATCTTCGCTGTCAACATTAATATTAATCTGTCTCAAGTATGAAAACATTTTTGAATTCCTCAGGTTTACAAATGATTGATTTATCTGTTGATTCTTATACATAGATCGTATAGTAGATAAATAATCATAACATGTTTCATTTTTTCGATTACAATAATCTAAGCCTATTTGTTCTAGCACTTCTTTAGATGTGTTCCATGTCCTTTGACGATGACTATTAAAAATAAATATAATGTTAAATATAAATAAACATATTTTAGTTCACAATAAATTTCACTCAAGGATTTAATTTTTATAGTTACTTTAATTCTTCAGAGGTGGGGCAAAGTTTTTCTGGAATATAATCTCGTGTATTTATATGATTGTATATCCATTGAGTAATATCTGTGGAAAGCAGAATAGAACTGTCCGACCAATGATGGGTTTCAATTAAACTAGAACTATCCCTCGTGGCAAGGTGATGCCAAAATGGTTGTGGGTCTAAGAAATTGTAACTCTAAAGCACATAAAACCACATTATATTAGAAAACAATTTGATTAACAGAAATTCAAATTATAAACCTGCGTTTTTGAATAGATTAAGTTTAATTCTGACATAATATCTAGATTTCGAGATATTGTAGATATATCAACATTGCATTTTGGTTGTTTGGTGTCTTCTACGCTAGTCAAATGACAACCAATCATATGCGGCCAATTCCACCAAATTGAATTTAAACTCATTTGGGATTGTTGATTTAGGACTTTCTGAATACATAATATTTTGAATAAATTAATCAACAAATAAAATGAATTGAATATTTAGTTTTTATATACACAGGGTGTTTCTGTAAATGGATGAGGTATATGCGTATTGAGTACTCAATGTGTTGGCCCAATGAAGATTTTTTTTAAATTTTTTTATATCTTCAAAATCTTAGTTTATACAAATTATTATTAGAACACATTATCTTAAATGTAAAAATAAATGGTCTAATTGTATTTTTTGCAAAATTCTCATACAAATCGAGGAGTGACATCATTTTAGCCCTTGTCGAGCGTTTTTCACGCTCGAATCGCCGACTAAAAAAAAAAAAATGGTGTGGCACATCGATTTGTATGAGAACACTGCAAAATGGCAGTGGTGATAGTTATTTGTTGTTATTTAAAATACATGATTAATTAATACATTATCTTACATTGTCAACTATTAAACATGATAAAATATTAACAAAATTATAGGGTTAACAAAGTTTTAAATTATTGAATTTACTGACATACATTAATTTGTGTGATTTAGATGTACAGGTAATAAAATATGGTAACTTTTATCCATAATTTCTATTATTAAATAACTAATTGACCGTAATTTTTACATAAAGAACATTATAGCTGAGTTCAATACTTGATATTGAACAACACTTTAAATTTAATTTTAAGATTTAAATTTTAAATTTAAATTTTGAATGATGGAGTGCACTAACATTGAATATTCAGAAAGAACATGTTTATGCCAAAGAATTACCTAAATAATAGAGATGAACTTTTTAAGAGAATTAATAATGTAGCTGATATCATTCGTCAAACACCAAATTTGTTGGAAAAAACTTGGAATTCATTAAATCATTGAATCAAAAATTGTATCGAAGTAAACGGGAGCACATACTCACATTGAACAACTGTAGGTAAAAATATGTTTTCAAAATAAAGTGTACTTAATTATGATTATTTTAAAATGTAACACAACTTAAATTTATGTCAGTAAATTTGATAATTTAAAACTTTGTTAACCCTAATTTTGTTATTATTTTATCATTTTTATTGGTTGACAATGTAAAATAATACGTTAATTAATTGTGTATGTTAAATTACAACAAATAAATATCACCACTGTTTATCTTGTAATGTTCTCATAGAAATCGATGTGCAACACCATTTTTTTTTTTTAGTCGGCGATTCGAACGTGAAAAACGCTCGACAAGCGCAAAAATTATGTAACACCTTGATTCAAATGAGAATTTTGCAAAAATCTAACTTCACCATTTATTTTTACATTTAAGATAATTTTCTATAAATAATTTGTTAAAACTTAGATTTTGAAGATAGAAAAAAAATTTACAAAACATCTTCATTGGGCCATCACACTGAGTACATACTGAGTATATACTAGTTACCTCATCCATTTCAGAAGCACCCTATATAATATTATTACCTGATCTATTTCTCCAGTACTCAAAACATATTGTAACTGAAGAGTACTCTGCCTAATGTCAGGTTTAAATGGATGAATAAATGTATTTATTTCGTCTTTTGTCATAATGACTCCTTCGTTTAACGCTATTAACTGTAGAAAACAATCTGAAACAACAACACACAATACAATATTAAAATGCTTAAGGACTAAGGAGCCTTGCAATGGCATTGATTTAAGGAGAATCATTTAGGCAATTTCTAATCTCGTCGCCGCCACCCGAGATCTATGTGTTAGTCGTAAATGATTATTAGTGTGGGTGGTGTCCATGCGGGTAAATTGTAGCGGTTAGCACGCACGCACTCGCACACATATGTCAATATATAATATTGTGATCATGAAAAAATGTTTATTTTTCACTCAAACATACGATTCTAATTCCAACATTACGTCTCAATGATTACCTCGATTTTTATTCTGACAAAATATTCTTATTTTCCACAGCATGTTCGAGGGATCGATCGAGGCACATTTTTAAAATTGTATTTAGTTAATTAAATATTCAAGTTGGAAATTCTGTACTTTTTTTGAATTGTTTACAATTTTTATTGCAATTTAAATTACAAAAATTAAAAATGTGGCTCGATTGTTCCCTTGTATATATTACGGACAATCAGAATATTTTTTCAGAATGAAAATCGTTATAATTGTCGACACAGAAATAGAAATTCGTACAGAATTAGAAACAGTAGTTTTTGACCAAAAAAATATGAGGTAGTGAGGCCCCTTAATATTAGAAATATTTTATTCTAAATATAACTGAATTGGTATTTCACAATATTACTCACTTAAATCATCTTTTGGCGGATGTATAAAATGTAAAGTTTCACTGGACAAGAAAAATTTCAACAAATGATTACTAAAAGGGTCATTTGCTGTTAAAATTAATGGTCTTTTTGAATCTGTAGCTAAAGTTGATATTGCAGCTAAAAATCCATCATCATGATTTTCAAAGAATATATCAGCCTAAATATTATAAGACAAAATAAAATTAGTCAATATGAATTTAAAGTCACAATTCAACATTTATTAAAATATGATTTTATATTTACATCTTCAATTAAAATAATTGTCATTTTTTCATTTGCTTTTTCTTTCTTCTTATGTTTTTTGATTTTTATTTTTTTTCCTAAAATATAGAAAATAATACTATACTTTTAGAAGTAAAATAAATATTAATCAAATATTGTATATATTTTTTTTTCTATGGAATTGATTATATGGGATGACCAAGAGTAACCAAGTATTCAAATGTGAATCGTCATTATTTTCTGTAAATTGTTTAGATGTATTTAAATCAAATAAGTAACCAGTAGTTTTTGAGTTATTTAAATTTGTGTGCTATAGAATTTAGATCTGGAAGAATAGTAGCTATGATAATTTGAAAATTTAATTTATTTATTTATTAATCTATCAAACATTTTATATTTTATAAAATTGTCATAGTAAATTAGTAAGTATAATTAAGGTCTATTATCTTAAGTGTATACACTTTTATTTAAAATACTCGGAAACCACTTGTTTTTATATTATGATTGAAATACAACAATATTAAAAAAAAAAATCATATGCTTAATAATAATATACAATAAAAAGGTTGATTTTCATTTGAAAAAATAAGTGAAAACATTGGTTATCTCTGTCAAACACATACAAATTATAAACTAAAGCAAAACCTGTCTTCTCATTTTTCATATTATGCTGGCAAACTGGTAAAAGTATTATAGAATATAACAAAATATACTGAAAATAGCTTTTAAAGAAATGCCCTACGTGGGATTTTTCCTAAATGTAAAATATTAATGACACTTTTATTATTAACTTGAAACTTCAATTATAAATTAGCCATGATTTTATGTATTCAATTATTTTCAATAAATACTAGATGTACAATTCATATTTGCAATTGTACATAGCTCATTTATGACAACAGATATATAAATAATGAAATATGTTCTAAAATCAACAAGATATTTCAAAAGATTGATAATCTTCAAGTATAAAAATAACAAATTTTAAGTAGAGTTTGTAATATTTTATGCTAGTATAATTCTTAGATAGACCATGATAAATGAATGGTGCAGTTTTTCTACAGTGAGTATGTGAAAGAGACAACCAATGTTACACTGATATCGTCGAAAGAGGATTATTGATAATACACAGATATTTTTCGTCACTATCCATAAAACATTAAATTATAAAGCAAATTCACTTATTTTAAGACCTACACGTTCTATAGAGTCGGGGCCAAACGAATGTGCGGTTGGTGGCTCTACTTTTGCCGGCGACTAATTAGAACTCATAGTTTTAGGTAAACGTTCACACATGAATAGCGCGGTTACTTTATTTTCAAATATACCGCCAGCAGCTGTTACTCACTATTCAGTGTGATATCGCCTAGTGGGCGGAGCCACCAACCGCACATTCGTTTGGCTCCGACTATAGTTATATTAGGCTTTCTGTCTTAGATCACAATATTGGTTCATGAGTTATTCTACAAATATAGCCTATATTAAATACTAAACCTTTTAATAGATTTAATAAACAGTTTTTTTCCACTGCATGTGATTGTGTAGCTTCCATTAAATCTGTAATAATACGTTTTCCATTTCTGTTACAGGAAGCATTCAACTCTATCACCTATACAATACATTAAATACCAAGTTATTTTTATGTTTATGTTTGCAAAGATGATTAACAATTTCATTACATTTGCATTAAGTTCATTGGCTACAGCATAAACTGCACTAGTTTTACCACAACCACTTGGTCCAAGTAAAATTGCTAAGTTAAGTTGTTGTTTACAACTAGATTCACTGTCACTATCAAAGATAAAATCATCATCATCATCATACTTTTGACCTAAAAATAACAAGATATAAGAAAAAATAATAATAACTAAATTATACATTTTCAATATTTGTTGTGTTACTACTAACATTTTTTTGACTTTTTAGAATTTTTCTTATTAGGTTCTAACCAATTCTTCAAATCCTTAACAAGTTTACCATTACCAAGCACCTCGTCTTTACACATTGGCTTATATTTATCAATCCACATAGATTCAATATCAGTTGTAGATTTCTTTGCCACTAAATGTTTCTTCTTCAAATTTTTATGAAAATCTGAAACTGGAAAATTTGGTACCTGTAAATAAAAATCATCTTTAAGTAAATTACCATATTTTCAAGTGCATGTTTTTATTAGTACACATTTGTATAAAAGACTACCTAAAATTTTTGTGAGTATGAAATGATAAATAATGAAATGTTTAGTTTAAAAGTATAAGTCATCACAAGAGTTGTATGAAATATTTAAACATTTAATTCAAAATAAATTAAATTATCGTAAAAACCTAAATGTATGAAATATATTTAAATAATTTATTTATATTATTTAATATTAAGTGGCTTCAGCAAGCCATCTGGAAACAAAATAAGAGGTCTACACTATTTTATTTAGTTAGGATAAAGATGTTAATATCATATAAAGATCAGTTCTGAAAGTTATAGTATTAAAGATCAACTATCCTAAAACTTAAATATAGATAGTTAAATTAATGCGAAAATTGATTGAAAAATAATTTAGGCACTTGGTTCCAAACGATTGGATTAATATTAAGTATTGATTTCTTCCAACAATTAATATCATAAAATAATGATAAGCAAAAAAAAAAAAAAAATAAGGAAAATAAATATACCTAATAAAATATATAAGATTTTGTAATAGAAAATGTTTGTGTTTCAATACGCAATAATTACAAACAGATTTGTACCAAAGTCTGAGACCAATACAATACAAACACATTGCTGGTATTTTACGTATGTGGAGTCTTAAATGCTAATTTTGTACCAATACCTAATAGGTATGTATTTATTGTTACACTATTCTTACTTGAAAATCTAAATACTTACAGATGTTTTTAAAGATGAAATCATGTATGGAAAATTAATTTCCATTTGATAGGGCTCTAATACTAGACGTTTAGGTAGAGACTGAACAGTTTTAAATGTAAGAATAGAGTTTTTATTACAATTGTCATGGAATACTTCTTCCTTCAAACAGAGTATAGGATCTGATGACCTCAAAGATGTCAAATGGTTAGTGTGTGTGATCTTAGGAAAACATCCGAATTCTTCAACAAAACTACTGATATAAGGCAAGTTGGCATTACTCCTGAAAACATTGTTATAAGAGAACATTGTGAATAACAATAACCCATGTAAAAGGTACAATAAATTGTTAAAACGTGTCATACTTAATGATACAAACAGCATCATTGGGCAGCTGAACATCTTTATTCTTTGTGTTAATGACTAATGGAGTTTTTGAACCATCACTACAACTCCTAGTTTTGATGACGATGTTCTGTTTTGTCACACTGTTGTTGGAATCGGTGGTTTTCGAATTGCCATCATTTTGGACGGCAGTGCTGTTTTTGGCCTCATCAAATGATTTACCGAAATATGCAAAAAATGCCTTTTTCTGCCTCAAGTCCCCGTTGCAGAGAGTGGACGCTTTTTCACTGGATACCACTGCATCTGTCTCTCCTTTTTCTTTGGAAATTTTCTTTTTCTTTGTGTCGGCAAAAACGCAGTCATCCGATGACCTCTTTGCCGTGCGTCCAACCATCCTCAGTACGCTGATGATGATCACTCAAACTTTGTCGGTAGAAATCACAGCAATGGCATTGACATTCAGTGACGATAATAGATTTTATTGTTTAAAAAAGGATTGTGACATGACAATTGTTGAATTGTGTATTTGTGTAATGGGTTGCGACCCGACACGAGAACATCACAATAAACAACTATGAACTAACGCGATTTGTTCATAGTTCATACTTCATAAATAGTAGCAATATTATTCTCACACATTATTAAAGACCGTCCATAGACCAGAGACCTGTGCGGCTGTGCCAGACCTATAATTGTTAATTATTCAAACTTCCGTGCTTACTGCTCACACACATAGTCATAGCGTCTTATCAGAAAGACGGAACAACGTTCCCGCCAGTTTTTTTTATCGTGTCGATCATAACCGCGGTATAACAGTTGACGTAACCTTTCAGTTTATTGCGCGGAAACATAAACAAAATAATATCATGTTCATGATTGTCGAATAGACCAAAGTCCAAAACCCAATTTTTTACTGCCACCAATCACCATTCACAATCAATTGGGTTCTAACGAATGAAACAAATAAAATATTGTTTAAAAATTGTTCAATTATGGTATTAATTTATTAATATTTGTTCATGATTGTTATTCGCCACCAGAATTATAACGATTAAAATATCGATATAGGGTTAACTCATATCGTCGTACCAATCGTCGTATACACCTTACGGTATACCACTGATAAAAAGAACCTTCTTAAAATAAAGAATTATATACAGGTGTTAGATATTTGGTATTCAGACATTCAGTACAAGAAAACGAGTTAATTATTACTAATTAGTAATTGCAAGTTAATCAATATAGGATTTTTCAACGACTATCATCAGTTAGTTAAAGAAAAGAAAAAAATATTCAAATTGTAAAAACAATTATTTTTTTATTATATTAACTACAATCAAACTAAAGTCGTAATAAAAATATTATTGTATTATATATGTTACAGCTAAAGTGTTGAATTCCGCTATTTTATGAATTACCTACGAATGTTAGTTAAAGTATGAAGTAATACATGAAAATTAATAGTTATTCTATAGGTACAATTTCAGTTTGATATCCGTTTAAGTATAAAATACATTAAAATTTAAAGTAATATATTAAAATATTTTATTTTACTGAATTAATTATAGTTACATTATTTGCGGCTGTTAAAATCTTCAAAAACCATTAGTAGTTTAGCTTAACAACCAAATATTTTTTTTTTGCTGGCAAGGTATACACAAATCCAAACACACAATACATCCAATACATTAAAATTTAAAGTAATATATTAAAATATTTTATTTTACTGAATTAATTATAATTACATTATTTGCGGCTGTTAAAATCTTCAAAAACCATTAGGTAGTAGTTTAGTTTAACAACCAAATATTTTTTTTTTGCTGGCAAGGTATACACAAATCCAAGTATTGCTTAACATCAGATTGAGTAATATTTTCATAACGTTTATTTATTTCATATTACATGCGGTCTCTACAACTGTGTAGTGTGTTCAATACAAATATGAATTTCATGCGAATAATCATAAATATTTTCAATTATAACATATAATTTAATATTTTCATTTTGACTACTCACGGGTTGTATTAATCTTTCAATGTCGTTTATTTTTACAATATCTCAATGTTTTTGTAATCAATAGTCACGAGAAGATTCCTTTTTTATTTTTATTTTTTTCACGTCCATCATCAAACTTGCATATTTTTCTTTTGTTAAAACTGCACTATTTTATTTTCATTAAATAGAGTTTTAACACTATAATATACAACTTTTCTTTCATTAAATCTAATTCATTCGAATTCATTGTGAATTATATATTAATACTTAAAATAATATAGCGTAGAGACAGACGAACCAACAGTAAACACCTGAAAAGGTAAAACTATTACTAAACTTTAAACCTTAAAAATTTTATTGACAATCTTAATAATATTATAATTTATAATACATATACCAATAACGATAATCATATAATAACACGATAAACGTACATGAATATTGCGGTCACCGACAACAAGGACGTCAGTCTTATCTGATTTATTATTATATTGGATAGTAAAATAACGATATTGTACATGATATTGTGTACAATTTGACACATTAATGAAGTGATGCTAGGGAATGTATAAAATAACTAGTTAAAATATAAATTATATACATTACCTACAAGTTTTAGTTATTTTATAAACTAGGTACCTAGTTATTTGATAAGCTAGCCAATTCAACACTTTAACTGTAACATATACATGTGTACGGCGCGTTAGGTAGGCAATTTTAGGCCATAATTTAATGTTTGAACAATTTTATTATTATCGAGGCATCGTACTATAATTGGATGTATGAAAGCATATTTTATACCTCTTAACAGTTTAAGTGTAAGTACCTACACCCAACCATGATAAAAAATATATATAATATAACTTCTAGACTGTAAGATTGTAAATAAACTTATAATTATTCACTTTTCGATTTGCATAGGGATAATAAGAAATACTAAGGAATTGTTTATTAGTCTACGATGAAAATTAAATATTATCCGTATTTTGGTAAATATTAATGTGTTTTAACCTGCAGGGCTAAGTAGGTAGCTTACTACTTAATTTTGTACAACATCATTACCAGAAAATTATAATTTATTATTTTAATAATATTTAATATTGGTATATTATTTTTGTAAAATAATTAACAAGTTAAGTTAAAAAGTTAAAAAAAAAAATAACTTTTTAACAAGTTAATGTCCACCATTGCATTTTCAGTATTGGGTTAGAAATTGTGGTACCCATGATTGCGTTATTTGTTTTAATATTTAGCTAATATAAATAAAACGGATGTTTTAACAACAGTATATACTTTAACACTCACAAGAGGACCGCAGTAGTACAGAGTACAGACTACAGACTACAGACTACAGAGTAGACATAAGACAAGGCACAGAGTGAATACGAAATAAGTCTAAATAAAGTAATTTATATACTCACCTATTTACGTGGACCCTTGTTTTAAATTTTCAATCCTTAGTTATAAAAGTTTAACATTTTATAAATTTTTAACAGCAAAATAATTATTTAATTTTAAATATGATAAATTTTGTCAAAATTCGAACTTTAAATGCTTATAAAAAATAATTGTGCCTATGTATTTTTAATATTTTTCAACTGCTATTATCACAATATATCAGGATCCTTGTATTAAATGTTCACTCTTTTTTACGCAACAAATAAAATTTTATTGATATTTACAGAAAACAAAACTAAGAAAATTAAAAACTGACAATGCTCGTAAACAGCTCAAGAGTATTGAGTTAAAATATTTTCAAATTTTTACGGTGTTTAGAAAATGAAAATATAAACATTCAGTGAAATTTTCATGTATCTAAAATTATTCGTTTTTGAATAACAATGAAATAACAAAACCGCTACATGAGAAATCGAGTGAATATCCAATATTTTAAAATTATGAACTTTAAACGCTCATAAAAATTTAATTTTACTTTCCGGTAGAGATTTTTTTGTTGATAAAGGTATACAAATTTACGAGTAGCCTTGTATTACATTTTCAAATCTTAGATTTAAAATGAAAAATGTTTTAGATTTCTCAACTCAAAATAATTTGCTAATTTTCGTGATTTTTCCGTATTTTGTCAATATTTGAACTTTAAATGCTTATAAAAAAAAATTGTGACTAGGAATTTTTCAACTGCTATTAATTGTAACAATGTATTAGAAGCATTGTATTAAATTTTTAAGCCTTTTTACCAACAAATAAAGTTTTATTGACATTCATTGGAAAAAAGACTAATCATATTGGAAACTGGTTATGTTCCTAATCAGTTCAAAACAAATCAAAATGGTTTGAACATTTTTACATGTATAGAAAATGTAAATATAAAATATCAGTGAAAATTTCATGAAAATTCATTTGTTTTAGAGTTAAACCAAAAACCAAAATCGATTTTGTGGAAAACCAATTTTGCGTAAAAATTCCCGTTTTTCCTTAATTTTTATGTTGTTTTTCCCGTCACTTTTTAAAACTATTTCGAATTTTACAATTTGACCTCCTGAATGCAACAACTAGATTCACTTTCCCGTCGAATAAGATACTGTTGAAGAAAATCGAAGCAGTTTTACTGCCCTTAACCGTGATGACAGACACAATGAATGCCAGATTTGTTCCCAATAAATTATTATAATTATATGTAAGTATATTATATTCGTAAAGTGTCCATTTGAACATATAACTTGTCATAAGATAGAAAAATTAAATAAAATCAGTACAAATTTTAATGGGTAATACGAAAATATTTATTTAATTTAAATTATACATAATTCATACATTTTTATTTACATAATCGTAATCGTTTCCGTCACCACCATCGTTGGGTTTTCAAATTTATTTTTGGAACATATAAATTTCTACAGCATCTGGTTGCGCAGTTTTATAATACAACTAGCTGACCCCGTGCACATCGTTGCCCGTTAAATGTACTAACTCTATACGACTCAAACTTTGTTCAATTCGTTATTTAATATTCGGTGTATGGTGTTCAAAACTTATCTTAACTTTTCCGTTGCCCGGACTAAAAATTCCGATTCGTAGCAGTATATTATCAGGTAGGCAATCTACCTGAGGTAGATCGTTAAGCCCGTGCTGTTTGTACGTAAGTGTATGATTTAACTCTAGAGTATCACAGTTATACCAAGTTTGTCGTTTTTACTTAATTCCTGCACTTACGGTGGATTAATATTATAATCAATTAATACAAAATACTAACCTAACCCTACTAAAATCCAATGAAAAAAAATCAAATTTAACCCTTTTTAAATTAGCCTATCTTCTTCCCATAGATAAAATGGGGGCGTAGCCAAAACCACGAACGTCTAACTATCCAAAGGTGCCGAAGATCCCTTTCACGTCCCTTTGGGGTAAAAGTTCGTACGAGAAAGTTCGTAACTGCGA